GCCTCCTGGAAGTCATCAAAGTTAAGACTCTAATACAGGGGTAGTCAACCTTGGCTCTTTTATGACTCGTGGACTTCAACTCCCAGAAATCCTGAGCCATCTAAGCTGGCTCAGGAATTCTGGGAATTGAAGTCCACGAGTCATAAAAGAGCCAAGGTTGACTACCTCTGCTCTAATAGATGATACTCACAACATATTTTCTCTGCCAGATCTAATGAGTTGGGCCGATGTAATTGGGGAGAGGCATTCTCTCAGATAACCTGGTCCCAGGCCATGAAAGACTTTATGGGTTAAAACCAGCACCTTAAATAGGACTCCCCCAAAACCTGGCAGCCAATGCAGCTTGCGACCCAGAGGTGTAACATGTGCTGTTCTGAGAGCCCACATAACTGCCCACACTGCTGCATATTGCACAAGTTGAAGCTTCTGGATACACTCAAGGGAAGCCTCATGTAAAGCACACTAGTCTAATCTGGAGGTGACCAAGGTATGAGTGACTTTGAGCAGAGTCTTCCAAATGGACACAATTGATACACCACATTAAACTATGCAAAGGCACTCCTAGCTACGACTGCCACTTGCTCTTCAAGCAGGAGTTGTGAGTGTAGGAGGACCTCCAGATTGCACACCGCATCTTTCTGGGCACTGCAACCACATCCAGTATCAAAGAGGCATAGTTCTAAACCCCGAATCTATGCTTACAGAGCAGGAGAACAAGCACAGCCATGTCCAACGCAGTCTGTCCTCTCATCAGTTCTTCAATCTGCTTCTCCAGAAAGTGGCCCCAAATTCCTAAAGCAGCCCCCAGGTCCAATCACTGCCATTTCAGATTAGAAAAAGCAGCTGCCAAAAACCAGGGCAACTCAGCAATCATGACTGGCAAAAAGCTGAGAAAATGCCACAAAATGCCCTCAAAGCAACAAAAGAGGCAACTACAGCCATCTTCCAGTATATTGTGCTACAGTCCAGGCTAGCCCAGTCCTCCATCCTTGAAGTTCAAATAGGTAGAAAAGTCCACTTCCACTTATAAAACCACCACTAAAAGCCATCATCATGCATGTCATGCCAAACAATTAAGAGAGCCTAATTGTGGCTCTCTTAATTACATGAGAGAGACAGCATGATAGATATAGAGAGGCTCAGAATAAATTTCTAACTTTCTATTGAGCTGTGTGCATGCGCTTGCCAGCCGCTCGCATGGAACCATCTCCGCTCCCCTCCCGGTCTGCAAAACTGAAAAGGTTAGGGAATTCTGCTCTGTCTGGCTTTGTTGTTGTTGTTTTTTTAAAAAATAATTTATTTATTGGAGTAGTTAAAGAAGAGCTACATAAATTAAAAATAGAAGACAGAAAGGGGACAGAGCAGATAATAAAATATCAGTAAATATATTATAATTACTGTAAAATTTAAAGTTCATTAAGAGAATTATATCATCTGAAGAAATTACTAGGAATCTCTATATGACTCTGAACATCAAATTAATATCAATATCATCACTGTTTGCTATGCTTCCAAAGAAAAATGTACATAATCACATAAATGAAAAAGACCAAAGAAGTAAACAAATAAAAAAAGGAAAAATAGCATGAAAGAGAAAAACCAGTAAAAATGATATTGGGAAATGTAACTTTAAATGCCCTCCCACTGTACTTAGGTGATGATTGCATCAACATATTTATAAATATTGAAATTGTTTCTAATTACTGGCTTTACGTCAATTGTTTCCCTCTTAAAAAGCATACTCAATGTAATTGAGTTTGATTTGTGTGACACGTGATATATGGCTTCTCTGATTCCCCATGGACAGCCCGGAGGCCAGTTTTGCATAAGGGTTCATGTGTGTTATGATGAGAGGCTTATCCTGTGCAAGAATCAGTTTTGTAACTCTGTGAAAGAAGGAACACTTGAAAATATGGCGGCATTTTTAATGCTTTTCTGATTACATCAATTCTACCGCTTGCTGTCAAGAATTCGGGTTCAACTCTTAAGACTACTTGTTCTCTAATCCAGTGTTTTTCAATCTTGGCAACTTGAAAATGTGAGAACTTCAGCTTCCAGAATTCTGGGAGTTGAAGTTCACACATCTTCAAGTTGCCAAGGTTGAGAAACATTGCTCTAATCAACCACAAATGTAACCTTTGAAAGAATTCGGTGATTCCTTGTTTTGGTTCCTTGCCCAATAATGCAGAGAGAGATCTCTCCCTTCTCATTCCTTGGTCCTCACATGCCTGTTCATAAGCTTCCCTTGAGATCAAATCATTCAGCAGAAAGGACAAATTACTTCACTACAAGGTGATGCAAAGTTGATTCATATCTTGTCTCTGAGATCTGATTCAGTCATGGCAATAATTTTTTTTAGCTAATAAATATAGAATAATAAACTTTCTCTTGTGAACCTGTTAGAGCTGCAGCACTGAAAATCTAATCTGGAGTATTCTATCACCTCACACTAGGTTGTTTATTATTTATTTATTTATCAAATTTATTTGCTAATCATCTCAGGGTTCGAGGTAACTCTGAATGTGTGTGTGTGTGTGGGGGGGGGTTCAGCTACCTTTGCTCATTGTGCAAAAAAAAAAAAAGGCCTTCACTAAAAAGCTGTCAGAAGAAAGTTTTTTGAATAATCTGACTCATAAACTGGGCTAGCTAGAAGATGCTATTTTGCTGTTTATAATAAGGATTGGAAAAGGCCAAGTTCCATTTTATTTAGGAACTTAAACAACAAATCCAACTTTCAGCATCATTCCAGACCAAACTGGAATTATCCTATCAAAGAACAATGAATAATGAATGTGCCCTGAATGTCCCAAGCCATGTTTTCTTATTTAGAGTTATAATTCGCCATCTGGATTCCATGTGTGATAGTTAAAGAGCATGTAATCACATATGAAGGCCAACATTCTATTATTACACATTGGAATGATGTTGATGATGATTCTGATATAGGAAAAAGATTATTTATCTGTGAAATGGAAAATTTGTGCAGAGAATGGTAAAAGATTTAAAATAAGCCACGTATCTAGGTTACTTGTGATCCTGTCATTTGCCCCTGATCACAGAGCAAAATCGCATAGCTTGGAGGTGACTTTCTTCTACGGTAGCATCAAAATCTGAGGGAAGCCTTATCCTTCCCTAAAGGAGTTGCCAGGAACTTGTTGACCTTGGTCAATTACAAAAGACAGTTTTGCATAACCAGTATTAGGATTATTATGAAATAGAGCTCCTTCATCCTTATCACCTTTATCACCTTTATTGCTTTTTGTCCTTTGTTTGTATAGCCATCAACCAACTGAAGTGCAGTCACTGGTAGGAAGTCTGCTTCTGTCTATACATTTTTGTACAACTTATGATTGATCAGCACCACTGCTGTTACCCTAGCAGTAGCCGGCCAAGCTTGCACTGGGTGAAATCCAAAGCTGTCAGATTTTACCTCTTTTGTAACAATATCACTGATGCTCCAAGATCCGAAAATCACAGTCCCAACCATAGAGGATCAGCCACAGGGAGGATATATGGAGGTTAAGATAGCCACTGTGACTGTGTGATTGAAACCCCACCATTTTTCATGTTCTTTGATCACACAATTGTGTCCACTATGTTTGTACAGACACCCCTGCCAACATATGATCAATAGCCAACTTAGACATTTAACTTTAACGATTGAAAATAAAGAAGTAACACAAGACAAATATTCACTTCAGAAGGATTAAGCTTAAAGTTACTCCCAGAAGGAAGGCTTAAACTTTATCTAACCTTTCTGCTGAACACTCTTCCCCAACTTTTCATCTGTAATGTTCCAAACCTTTCATGGTTGCTATGATAAACAAACCATACATGACATCTCAGGCAACAGAGTCCCGTGAGAGTACTATAGCATGTCAGAGGCTAAATGCATGATAATATTTTATATATTCCTATATTGGCCCAACTAGGTCTAGGATGATGACTGCTCAGATCTTGAAGTTTAGACTAAGCACAGGAAATCCAGTTTTAAAGGATTTTGCAGTTCTTAAAAATTGGCATGGAGTATGAAATAGATACCTAAATAGTTGGCACAGGACAGAATCAGGACAATTTTTCTCTCCCCAGTTTAGGAGAATATACTCCCCATAGTAACCCTTTTCAGTTGTAGACCTCACAAACAACTATTGTTCTGAAGCCTTTGTTCCAGAGGTCATGAACAGATTGAATAAATTTGCCCACAGGTACAACAAATACAAGATACTTGTTGGGCTAATATTTGTTGAGCTGCATAAAGCAAATATTCCTACCTCAGCAGGAATTACCTACTATTCTACTATCAAGTGAGTGGTTTACTTTCCACATATAACATCACTTCTGACCTACAAAAAACTACATTGGGTTTTATTCATGCCAATTAGGCAGGATAATGAAAGGAAAGGAAACCTATATTTAAATTTATCTCTCTTAACCTGGGAGCTAAGGCCCATTGTAATGGTCATCTGAATTGGCTCTGGGAGTGGAATTTAATTTCTCAATAATTACATCACCAATTTTGGCAGGTACTGTATGTTTTTTTAAGGAGACAGCCAATTTGGTTTAGTGATTAAGGAACCAGACTAGAAACCAGGAGACTGTGAGTTCTAATCCTGCCTTAGGCATGAAAGCCAGCTGGGTGACTTTGGGCCAGTCACTCTCTATCAGCCCATAACATCTTGCTTGCACAAGTAGCCAGTTGGTCAATATTGCCACAACCAATGGATCACTACTCGGTTGAGATGAAAAAAAGTGGAAAGAAGAAGGAAGAAGAAGAAGGAAGAAGAAGAAGAAGATTCTTAAAATTTATGTGTATCTGTAACATGTATATATGTGAAACCTGGATACTTTTATTTGTTTTATATGAATATGATAAGACTATGGAAATAATACTGCAAATATCTAAGGATATTCAAGAAATACACTGAAATATATTGCTTCAGACTAGTATAGGTCATAGACATTTGCTATAAAAAATAAATGTTTCCTTCTACACTCTGAAATCAATTTCATATGTGGTTTTTATTAATCTCCTGGTAACAATTTGGATGGACTTGCCACCTCCAGGGTGTGGTTAGGATGTCCTCAGCTCGCGTCAAGGCCTTTTTTGTTGTTTCCTGCGTGGGAGGGCTGCGGTTCTTGTTTCTGAAAAGGAATGTCATATGATGGGTCAGCAACTTCGGATCTCTCTGTCTGAATTCCACTTCCTTCCTAAATTTGATAAACAATTAAAGGAACCATTTGTTGATGTGTATGTGTGCATCACTGTTTTGGATTTTGTTTTAGTTATTTCGTTTATAATTACTGAACTGTTGCTGCTCTGTTTCTTTCAGATGGGGTGGGAAAGGCCTGGCATTTCTTTTAGGGAACTCTAGAGCAATCTTCCCTTTTTTTTTTAGTTTATATTTTTTTCTGATGTAGGATTGTGGAGAATATGAGAACCTGTGCACCATTTGGTGACCTTGTACAGTATTAACCTAAGAAGGCAATTGCCCTAATGTGTACTTGCTGTGTGAAGGAGAAGGTAGAAGAAGGGCTTTATGGCCCAAATGACTACACAGATGGACAATTTATGGGAGAAATAGCAAAAATACTTGGTGCCAGCTCTTACGGATGTGAAAGCTAACCAAAATTCATGGTATTCAGTGCAGTATCTCTTAACTAATTCATCCACATACGCATACATATATTATTAAAGTTGTTCATGCCACCATTTTTAAATTTAAAGTACAGTATTAGGTCATTGTTTGGGTCATTGTTTCAGAGATATTTCCTTATCTAAACTGAGAAACAGAATGATCAAAGGCAGGCAAAAAAGCCGTGGGATTGGGAGCAACTTCCAATTTCCTGCTGGCTTCCCCATTGAGTTTCCTTTAGGGAAGCTGATAGGGAACATCAGAAATCCCCTTCCCTTCCCTTAGGTGAGGGAGTGAGTGAGAGATTATACAAGCATCTAGGAAGATGTTAGGGAATGTTGAAAATGAGGATAAAATGAACAAAACCATGGCAGCACTGAAACAGCCACAATGTCCCCAAATTTCAATGCCATGTTGCGCATGTCTGCATGATGGTGGACGTTGTCCTTTAGCTCCGCACTAATGGAGCGGAAGAAGGGTAGAGGGGGGGCTTCGGAGACCCCCGAAGGAGCCAGAAAAGAGACCCCCGAGGAGCCAGAGGATCTGCCCCCTCCCTGGTGAGTTTTCCGGGAGGGGGAGAAGATAGCCGCGGGCCGCTCGCCGTTTTCTTTCTTGGCGGCCCCGGCTTTCTCGGCGGCCTCGGCTTCGGCTTCGGCGGCTGCGGCGGCCGCGGCGACGGCCTGGCGGCCTCAGCGGCCTCGGTTCCGATGCGCGGCCGATACGCGGCCCTTTCATCAGCGGCAACCTCGGAGGCCTCGGC